ACGAGCATGAAATAATTTAAGATGAACGGAATCAGGTAGCGAGAGGAGATCGCAGAGAGAGAGAGCAGAGAGATGAGAGAGACTGAGTAGCATAAAGAGATGAGACGTTCACTGCTGTAACGGACGAGCGGGAGCTAACCGACTGTGAGTAGAAAGAGAGAGAGAGTAAGATAGAGAGAGACTGAAGCAAATTAAATACAGATGAGACCAAACGAACTGCTCGAAACATACGCATCAGCGTCTTTCTGTGAAGAGGCATTGAGGCCAAGACGCAGTAATGCGCTGGAGCTACCAGCCATTGGTTAAATACAATCAGACAATCCTGTTACTCGGTAAGCGTGCGAATGATACGTAATGCAAGAGGGAAGTCCTCGGCAATTATGTTGGTAGCTAATGAACCCTGTATCCGATTAAATTGGAAGCCCTCTGCAAGGAAAGAGTCTACTACGTATTGAGTAACATCACCACACTCACCGTAAAGAACAGTACGTACGTATGACAGCATCTTGCACGCGATAGACCTACATCTACGCGTCCAGATGGGCGGATACGGACATACTAACTTCGTCGTAGCACAGATATCTTCAGATAGTATAGGTTCGTCCGATTGTCAACCGACCGCAGATCCGTTAACGGTCTTGTAATATGAAATTACTCTAACTCACACGCCCATGATACTCACTTTAAATTGCCCTTGCATGAGCGAAGTGTCGGACCGTCGGAAGGGAGACGAGAGGGCTTCAATGTCCACGTGCACTACTCGTGAGTCCACCTTGTAATGATCAGGTGCATCCTGAGTACCTCAGTGGAACAGATACTGGCATCGAGCCACACGAGAGTGAGGGTGAAAGGAGGATAAAGGGAGGAGAAAACATGACGGGCAGAGATTGCAGGAGAGGACGCGCCAGCAGTTCGGACATCACTGTCGACTCCTTTGGTGTGATTGTGTGCGGTTGTGTTATTTCCTATGTATAGTATATGCTTTTGTCTGATATTAAGTATATATATATATATATTTTGATATATAATACTATAATGTGGGGTGTGGTTCGGGTGGTGTTGTTTAGTGTTTGTGTCGTTGCTATTTCGTGTTTCGGTATATATATTAAGTATAGTATTATCTGATAGATTATATATATCATTAATGTATATATCGAATAACTAATATATAGTAAATCAAGATATATAATATATGTACTTATATATATTAATTCATTATATAAAAATATATATTAAATATATAATTATTAGAATTAACATACATACTAATTAAATACGGAATACTATAAGAAAAAATTAATAAAAGACAAGCAAAGAAAACAGAGAGGAGCAAGTAAAATATGATATATACATATAATATATTATAATATTGATATAACTTTATGTTATGTATTACTCAATAATAATATACTATATATATATTACCGAAATGATTTATACATAATATAATATATAATAATTATTAATAGTAGATTATACATGTTTAATGAATATATTAATATAGTAATACATAAATATAGTATAATATAATTAATGTTAATATATCTATTTAAGTATATATATATATAAGAAATAAAAAATCAAAAAGGATCAAAAGATAAAAAAACAAATAACAGGGAAACAAAAAAAACAAAGATGAAAGAGGAAATGAGAGAGAGACGACAGAGATGCAAGGACGAGAGAAACGAGGAAAAAGAAAGGATCCGTAGGTGAGAGTAGAGAGACTGAGAAGAGAGAAAGAACCGAACCGGCAGAGCTGTGCACCATCCCGATGAGGTGGACCTGACGAGGAAAGGAGGAGAAGGAGGGTAACGATAACCATACGCAGTAGATAACGGACTGAGAGAAAGCGTGCAGCTCCTCGTGAAGAACTATCGATATCGAAAGCACGGTAGCTAAAAGCGTAGGTCCGAGAGGAGGTAGAGGAGAAACACAGAATCCCACTTGTCTTCGCCATCGTTACGTAGGTATCCCACTCTAAGTGAAAACGTTTCCCTAAACCAAACTATTCTGTGTCCGCCTTGTAGGACTCAGTTTGCAGCAGATCAGTGCCAGCGATAGATGGCTCGTAGAAGAATTCGTAGTTACTAGAGAGGCTAAATATAATCCGTATTTTTGTGATTGTTTTGTTTCAAGTATTAGAAAATTGCTATGCGCAAGATCACGTGGATTAAAGTATAAGATGTACAAACACGTGAATTTTAATTATGCTTTTGCATCGACTTCTTCTTTATCGAATATAACTTCCTATCGATACTTTGAGTCATTGGGAAGAGGTATAATAGTTATCAAAGATGTATGTGAGCAAATCTCATTTATTAATTTATGTAAGACAAGAGAGAAAAAATTAGAACATGCCATGAAATGATGCCCATGTCATTAAAATCTGAAGTCATTGTTTCTATTGTCTGATCTCAGACGATTCTACTTTAAACTAATCTATCCGACTCTGATCATCTATCATCCTCATACTATCATATTCCATATCGATATCTATATATCTAATTCCATCTTAATCTATCTATCGTACTCATCTATCATTTAGTCTATCTAATCTATCTTATTCTATCATAACTCTATCTATACCTATCTATCTATTCTAATTCTCTATCTAGGTCTATCTATATCTTTATCTATGTCATCTACTGCATATCTTATCTAATTACCTTAACTCTATACATATCTAGTCATATCATCTAGTCTTAGTAACTCCAAACTACCATATTCAACATATACATTAAGTATAATGAGCAAAAAATATATAAATACCTTTTCTCTCTGAGCGTCATCATGCCAAAACAGAAGACCGAAAAATGGGCCAATAAACGAAATCAAGAATTATATAATAGAATCTAGATCAATTAACCAAACAGATTCCGTTATCCATCTTGATGCTCATATGTTAATATCAGCTTTCGACCGATCCGTACTATTACAATTACACTTAGAAGTACCTACTCCTACAATTCCGCTACGAACTCTCGAATAGAAGGGGACAAATGAGAACAATGAAAGTGCAACAATCCCAAGTATGGTTCCAGGAGACCCGGAACCAGCATGGTATGTGTTAGGACATCCTAACATAAAATTGGATATCGTAGTGGAGTGATAACGTTATCAGAAAAAGATAATACCGATTTTACCTCGAATTACATTAATAATTCGGTACTTAGGAAAAGATGCTAATAACATCTATAATTTTTGCTATTAACCAACATCAAACAAATCAAGGATCAGCACCACATCTTCAGTCAGAAAGACAACAGTGTAGAGAAGAAATATAGTAAAAAAATGTACTTTCTATACAATATTGTAGTATAAATCTCGATTACAGTTGTTCCTTAGAATGAAGATAGGAACAATCACTCGAAACGTATGAGAATTATTCACCAGGGAGCTCCAGACGCCATGCAGCTCAAGTGTTCCACGGACTAACAGGACCTTCCGGACCCAAGGAATCGAACCAGTCCTCGCGAAATGTTACAGCGTTCGCCATCAGAAGAAAGAACTAAAAAGAGTTTTTTACGGATGCGTTTTGCTTAGGAATTAAAGAGTATTTTTTTTTTTATTTTAACGGAGCGTTTTAGTGATAAAATATCTGTTGTGCGCACAACGTTGCAATAGCAGAAAATAGCTCCAAGATATTTTAATTATCATCTATAAGGATAACATGTAACCCAGCGGCGGAGCCTAGCCTACAGAAAAGGTGGGGGAGTCAGTGTAATAGAGTGGAGAGATCCACGCCCTTGTCCTTACTGGAAACGCCCTCGGCTAAAACAAAATGAGAGTGGAAAGCTCTCTTCATTCATACAAGTATCTTTATTATATAAGAAACCTATGGAATCAGCACTAAGTTTTAAAGTTTCCTTGTTTCCTTTTCGATAGTTTTTGCCTTTCAGCACTGAGAAGCTCTCATACTTTGATATAATATGTGCGTGGCCCTTGAAATTAAGAAAATAGTTCTAAGAACACAAGAATTTAGAAATTCCGAAAATGCCCGGAATGTTTTTCAGCAATTAAATGTATAGGAACTTTAAATCACAAAGATGAGTGATAGGATAACACTCACAAAAGTGGTGGGGGTCTGGATCCCCCCATTCACCCCGTGGCTTTCGTCACTGCATTGCTGAATATGATTTTCCGCAATAGGGAATTTTCCAGTCATTGTCCAACCGGTAAGCTCTTTAGAGCTAAAGAATGCCAAGGCTAAAACTAATGTAATTAACTTGAGTTCACTCACTTACAAATTTATTTAAACCAGGTATTAACATATATGGATAGATCCATTTACTTCGAAACTTATCTCTGAAATGATAGATACTAGCTGTCGCTCAAGGCTGCCCTCCCAGAGTGCTGCTCGGCGTATACCTTATATAAATCGAGTATAAATATATAGTGATACCGTAATACTAATACATAAACTAAGTTACATATTAAATGATATTATAAATAAGTATTACACAATATATATTAATATATAGCAAATGATATATCATGTGAGTGCCTGCAGTCTCATGAGCCATTGTTGGGCTCAGCCTCACGAACACTTAATAAACAGCTCCAGACATAACACATTGAGATAAACTTCATAAAGCGATGCAATCCATACCTACTGATACACAAAAACAAAAAAAAAACCGCGACCTCATTCTTTTGCCTTGAATAACTTCACCAACATCAACTTTAGCTAATTGACCCCAACATCGTCGAATCATCATACCTCTCCTTTTGTGTTCTGTGCGTATACTGCCCTGACTCACCGCCCTGTGCTTTTTTTAATTCATTGGTAATTTTGTGTGTCGTGTAATCGGTCTAGTGTTATAAAGGTCAAGGCGAATCACTACTCTTAGCTGTTGTGAATCTGTTCCTACATGTAAAATTCAATGCAGCCTTGGAACCTACACTTTCTGGATAATTAATGATGTGTGTAAAGATGGTGCTGACACTGTTGTTGTGTGTGTGTGTGTGTGCAATGTGTGCTGTATATCTTGTGTTGCGTGATGTCGTGTGATGTGTCTGTGTACTAATTTGGTTGCGTGTAATCCATCGGTTGTGTGTGTGTTTTTTTCTTTTTCTCTTTATCTAGTGTGACAGGCTAGCCCTCCAAGAAGACTAAGTATTATTGCTATAATATTATATACCTATTATACTAATTATATATATGATTAATTATAACTTATTATATATGTGTGTCCGTCTTGTGTGTGTGTGTAGTGTTGATGTGTAGTGTTTGTTGCTGTGCTTGTTCTGCTGGTGCGTGTGCTGTGTTGTAGTGTAGCCTTATCTTTTTGTTAGTTTACCAGATTTTCCATATATTATAAAATATGTTATATCATTAAACCCTGTTCTTGGTTTTCCAGAGAAGGAAAAGCATTAGCACCTCTTTTTTCAGACTTACAACGTCGAAACGAGACAAGGCATATTAATCACACCCAAGATGTGTATTATTGTGTGATGACATCCAATCGTAATTTAACCCTCTGTATTTTACAATATTGTTACTATATTCTCCTCATGTTGTTATAGAGTTTGTGACTGACCATAATAACTAACTATTCGACTATATAAAAATTCCTCCAATATTTTATTATGATCAAAAAAAGTAAATAGTTTAAGAAACTTTACAAAAATTTTCACTCGTGACTAACGTTTGGGTTGAATATTTACCTTTTGAGTAGTCCAGAACTAGAGGATGTACATGAGATATGAGAGAGAGAGAGACGACAGATGGTCGGTGAAGAATGTGAGGAATAGAGAGGGAGAGAGAAAGAGAGAGAGAGAGAAGGCATACATGACAGAATGAAGCAGAAGGAGACTGAGAGAGAAAGCCCATTGATGACTAATGTTTCTGAGTAATACTGGACTAAATACCGATCATTCTTCCAAAGCGGTCCTATCTTATAAATTCATTCCTCTATAGATGCTAGTCACTACTTTCTCCCACCAACATTCACAGGACGCTCAGACACGCCAGCAGTCTCAACAGAGTGTCCCTATCGGCACCATAAGGACTTTTACAGGGACCAAGGAGCGAGCAGTCCGGTTCGCGAACTGTTACAGCGTCGCCCGTCAGAGGAGTACGAAAAGGGATTTTTGTACGGAGTGCGTTTGCTTGGATAAAAGTAGCATTTTTTATTTTTTTATATACAGCGAGCCAGTTTTTTAGCCCGTTTGATAAAATCTGTTTGTGCACAAACGTGATAGCAGAAAATTATCCTCAAGAATTTTTTTATTATCATATATGGATAACATTTGTAACCAGACGGCGGTAAGCTCTGCCTCGAAAGTTGGGTGTGGGCGAGTTGTTTCCAGTTGTACACTAGAGGGGTCCACCCCCTTGTCGCTTACGGTTAAAACCACTTCTATAAACTAGAGTGAAGTGGTAAAGTCTTTTCTTCTACAAGTATTTTAAATTTATAAGAGACTTGAATCAGCATCTAGTTTTTAATAGTTCTTGTTCCTTTCGATATTTTTTCTCCTTTCAACAGTGAGAGCTCTCAAACTGTGGTTTTCGTAATTTCTGTGCCTTTAAATTAAAGATGTTTGGACAATACATTTTAGTGTCCGAAACTGCGGAAAGTTTCAAATTAATTGTAAGAAACTTTAATCACAAAGTGAGTGTGAAATGTCACACTCAAAAGTTGGGGCTCTGGGACCCCCCATTCACCCCGTGGCTTCGTCAGTTGATAAAATCTGTTGTGCACAACGTGATAGAAGAAATATCTCAAGATTTTTTTATTATCATATAAGGATAACATGTAACCAGCGGCGGAGCCTGCCTCGAAAAGGTGGGGGGGGGGGTCCAGTGTAATAGAGGGGTCCACGCCCCTTGTCCTTACGGAAACGCCCTTCTAAAAAACTGAGAGTGGAAAGCTCTTTTCTTCTACAAGTATTTTATTTATAAAAACTTGAATCAGCACTAAGTTTAAAGTTTCTCTGTTCCTTTCGATATTTTTCCCCTTCAACAGTGAGAGCTCTCAACTTTTTATTTCTGTGCCCTTAAATTAAGAATGTTTTAAAAATTTTTAGTCCAAAAATGCGGAAAGTTTCAAATTAAATGTAAGAACTTAAATCAAAAGTGAGTGAATGCACACTCAAAAGTGGGGGGTCTGGACCCCCCATTCACCCCGTGGCTTCGTCACTGCATGTGACTGATTTTCGGAAGGGGATTTTCCAGTCTGTCAACCGGTAAAGCTCTTTTAAGTAAAGAATGCATAGCTAAAACTAATACTACTACCACTACTAACCAACAAAACCATCTCTCCAACTGAATGTGTGTCTCAGCTGCCTCCAGTGTGTGTGTATATATACATACATATATATATATATATATATATATATATATATATATATATATATATGTATATATATGTTATATATTATATATATATATATATATATATATATATATATATATATATATATATATGTGTAATATATATATATATATATATATATATATATATATATATATATTATATATATTATATATATATATATATATATATATATATATATATATATATATATATATATATATATACACACACACACACACACATATAATATATATATATATATATATATATATATATATATATATATAATATTTATATATATGTATTATATTATGTATGTCTATGTGTGTGTGTGTGTGTGTGTGTATGTATGTGTGTGTGTATATGTGTGTGTAGGGTATGTAGACAAATAGATTACATAAATTTCTGTCTTAGAAACAGAAGCATAATCTACTCTTTTTTTAACATAAAACAATTCAAATAACCTGCACCCATCTTCAGTCAAGAGGAGCAACACTGTGAAGAGAAGAATACAAAGATTTCTTTTTAAAAAATGTATTTTTACAAAGGCAAAGAAAAAACTGAAAAGGAAACACACACACACACACACACACACACACACACACACACACACACACACACACACACACACACACACACACACACACACACATATATATGTGTATATTTCAATAGTCGACGTGGTAGTAATGGTTAAGTAATGAAGCAGCAAAGATAATGAAGGGACCCAACTTTCCTTCCCCAACATTCACAGGGAACTCAGACGCCAGGCAGCTCAAGTTATCCAGGGGACTACTGGCCTTCTACGGACCCAAGGAACAAGCAGTCCTTCCCGGATCCTGCAGCGTCGCCATCAGAGGAAGACGAAAAGGGTTTTGTACAGGTGCGTTTGCTTGGATTAAAGATCATTTTTTTTCCTTTTCTTTAAACAGGTGCAGTTTTAGTTGAGGATAAACTGTGTGTTGTGCATAACGTGATAACGGAAAACACCTCAAGAAATTTTTATTATCAAATAAAGCTGAAAGTGGAACGCTCTTTTCTTCTACAATTATTTTATTTATAAGAAACTCGAATCAGCACTATTTTTTAAATTTTTCATATATATATATATATATATATATATATATATATATATATATATTGCCAGGGATACCATTGACATTTCCGCAAAACCGCTAGTCATAAGAGTAGAAACTCGCGTTCCCGCTGAACATAAAGATTTTCCCGCTACATCATAACACATTCCCTCTAAATCTAGCGGGAAAGTCGCTCGAATGACAACACTGGCTATCGTCGCTACAATTATCCTTCTAGTCTCCTCCAGGATTGTTAAATAAACTATTTTATTTTCGCTTCCTCCTTCGATGCCCTGCCAGACGCACCAGGAGTCGAAAATTCTCGAAGAAAACGCGGTGACGAAGCAACAAGAGGGATTCGAACCGAGGACCGCGTGTCTCCCCGACTCGAAGGACAAGGAGGTGCGTTTACTATTTCTATTTCGTTTACTATTTACTATTACTCTCCCGGTGCGTTTTCTATTCCCTTTTATCACAAAGCTTGTGGGATGTTTCTTGGTTTATCTTTATTGCCATGTATTAAGGTCAATAAACATCCCAGAGGACAAGGCTCGGTAAAAATGGAAGGAAATTCTAGCATAAAATGAATAGACACATTTTACAGATCAGTTAGAACTGGAAGTTACGTCACAGTCGGTATCATTAACCAGGAATTAAAAGAAATAATGAAGTGAAGAACATGGCCAGAAAAAAAAAATCCACAAAACAGGTTAATGGAGAAATATTTCGAAATTCCCTTTAATTTTGATTTATGAGAGAATTTTGAAATTCGTCAAATGTTTAAGTTGCCTTATCGTACGGATGGAGGAGCTGCCTGCCGTTGTATCAGCACCGCCGAATGTTTTGTTCTTGAAGAATTGATCATTCCTACATTTGGCGTTGGATTTTTTACTTATTCACTTATTATTATTATTATTACTTTATTCATGCATTTATTTATTTTAGAGACATTTATCATAATGGATCAAGTTGCATATGTATGTTTTCTGAAAGCACACTATGTATTAGTTTTCTAACGACAAGACTGAATAATTTTCAAATTTATTATTCTGATTCATGGAACCTCACTGATTAAACCCTTATTTCAGGAGAGCAACTTCGACAGTCCTGGAGGAAGGGTTTCCAAATCAGAGGTTTGTCTTTAAGAACTATCGGTCAAGACAGAAAGTGTGTATAAAAGAAACACAATTACACATCTGTATGTACACATTGCTGAAGATCCACGTGAGACTGGTAGCACGACTTCTATTTAGCCGAATGGATTATAATATGAAATTGACTTTTTCCCTAAATGATTCTGATGACTATTTATGGTATGGAATACTTCGATATCATAAATATAAAAAAGTGGATTTTTTTAATTTTTACTTTGAAAATTATAACATTAAGTAAAAATATACCTAGCTACATCTGGCATCTCATGGTTTGCCATTGGTGGTTGAAAGCGATGACGTCATTAGTCCGCCCCTTTTTGCTCCTGTCAACCTGTGTGGTGATGTAGTGTGTTTTTTCAATATAATTTCTTTGAAAATGGTTCATTAATGACAGTGGTGGAAATCAAAGCAAAAATAATTCACGAAAGACATGAATAACAAACTTTTACAT